TATACATACACACACAGTGTTAGAGCTCTTTAAAGATTAAGCTGCCACTTGGTACCATTATTTCTATTTTCTGTCTTTACCTTTTTCCTGTAACCATTTTTAAGACCTATATATATGCTAGCATTTAAGAAATAGAGCAATAGCCATTGTAACCATATGATTTATAAGCTTCTTTAATAAACCTGTAACTGTAAGCTTTAACCTGACTCCTTCAGTTGCTGTAACAGAACCAAGCACAATTTAAAAGAACTTCAGTCGGTCATAAAGGGACAGACATAGGGAGAGCTTGGGCGTTTGGATCTGTGTCACTCCCAGGTGACAAGATCCGTTGGGGCACCTTTTCAGCCTTTCCTAGGCTGCCCGCTGCGAAGGAACCCCTGTGTTCTAGCAGCTAAAATCTAAGGTGCAATAAGCTCTTCCTATATAACGGGGTGTCTGTTGGCCTGCTGGCCACCCTCTGCGACGGGACCCCGGTCCTAGCAGTAAAGACACGGACGTTAAACCTTTTCTCGGAAACACACACACACACACACACACACACACACACACACACACTGCCCTCCCACGCAGAGAACAGAAGCTCCAGCATGTGCCTCCTCTGGGGACTCCTACCTTCTCTCCACGCAGTCTCCAATGCACTGCAGACCTGCTGTGTGGTACAGCGCTGGCTGTTTGGGGGAAGGGAAGCAGCCTGCACACTTCCTCAAAACCCATAAGTGGGGCACAGCTGCTGGATGGACCGGTTGGTGACCACGACATTAGGGTGTGTCCGTGCCCATGTCTCTGATCATAGTTTTTTGACTGGGACAGAGCTTAAAATTCTTCCTGTTTGTACATAAATGCAAGAAGCCTGGGAAACAAACACCTTAGATAACATGTTGACTGCCCTACCTTCATTCGAATCAGGGGTCCTCCTTTGTTGCTCATTCCTTGTGTTTCGTCCCGGTATCTGACTTCCCCACTTACCTCAGCGTTTTGGTCACCGTCCCCCAGTGAACCTAGCTTAAAGCCCTTGTCACGGTTTGCAAGTCTGCTCGCGAAGATGCTTTTTCCTCTCTTGGTTAGGTGGATCCCATCTCTTCCTAACAATTCTTGTGCCCAGAACAGAGTCCCATGGTCAAAGAAACCAGAGCCCTCTCTCTTACACCATCTGCACAACCACACATTTACTTCCTCAAGGGAGAGCGCTCTTGCAAGCTGAGAGAGAATGGGTCCTTCAGCCAAGGGAGCTGCAGTTTCTTGGAATTAAATATGGGTCAAACAGCTTATGCAAAGATCTTTCACTTATGAAGACAAGGAAATCTAGCACCTTGTATGCTACGGAAGGTCCTGGCCAAGGTTCCCTGTAAGCTGATTATGTCCGCATGTGAGTTTGCATCTGTAACTAAAAGTAATTTTGGCTGAACATATTAAACCTGTGGTTAGACAATGCCTTTGATTTTACAATTTAAACCACTCTGCCAGTGTACTGTTGAGGTTATATACCTTAATTCATCGCCTGGGGATAGAGATAACATCTTCCTTTATGATGTGTCTAGTACTGAGTACACTGATTGCTCAAATAATTTTGGGGATTCCATTAGAAATTCTACTCAGTGATGTCAACACTTATTTTGGAGACCAAAAGGAAAGGGCTTAATTTTCAAAAGCTCTATACAAATCGAAAAATGTGTACAATGCAATAGCTTTATTATTCCTGGTAACCTAGAGAGATTGAAGATTTGTTTTTTTAAAATCAACAAAAAGTAGCATCCTCTGATTCAAAGATCAGTAAAGTTTATATAAGGTTACAACTGAATGTAATGTACAATTCTTACACATGCTCACAGACCATCTTCATTCTGTAGCACAATAAACACACAATCACGTGAGGAATTTGCATTGATGCCCCACAATAGTGAAACAGACAGTCTGTTTCTAACCTTTGGCAAGCCTTCCGGGATAGAACTATGAATGCTTCAGAAAGTGAGATTTTACATAAAAGGCACTGGAACAGAACCATTTAGTAGGAAAGATTGCAACTTAAAACATAGCATTACAGGTATAAGCATATAACACCACACATTGTGCCTAAAGGATTTAGTGTTCTAACAACTTTTTCATTTCTTTACACTTATCTTGCGCCATGTGTTTATTTAAAAGAAAGAGGAGGATCTGTTCATGTTTTTCAATCTGTGGGGAGGAAAACAGAGATAATATTAGGAAGCATGTTGCCGTTAAGTATTGTTAAAATTAATCAACCTGAGAGTCTGTCACTTTTATAATTCTTCTAGGTACTAGAAATGAACTTGAGTTTGTATCCATGATAGTTTAGTGGATTTATAATTACCTTTCCCTATTTTGTGAAAAAAAATGTAGCATAGTGCATTAAATTATTTTGGCCAAGTCTCAATTTTATTTTAAAGATTTCTGAGGTGGTACTGGAGATGTCAGAAAATCAGTGGCTCAGGCCAACAGTAAGTGAACCTAGCCCTGTCATCAAGTTCTCTCCTTGCTTCCATTCTGTAGTGTCCTACCTACCTCTAGTCATTTACTGGAAATCCTTCAAAATGTATAAGTCTATCTTTCCTCCATCTGTTTCAGGAGATGGAAAGCTAGCCCAGCTTTCACTACTTGTTCCTCTCTCCCTCCCCTACTCAAAACACACATGTCATTCATAGGCTGGATGGAGAAGTTTGAACTGTAGCCATGAGGAATCCAGCCAAAGGCTACTCTGGAGAAAATGATCTTGCTTTACTCTGTAGTGGGACAGGAAAGGAGCAAGAATAAACTCAGTAACAAAATGATTTTCCTCTCCATAAGCCTCTGACTGCCTGGTAGTGGCATCAGAATTTCCTCTGAACTTTGCTGGCTTCCATGACAACCTCTTTTCAATAGAAATACTCTTCTTCCCCCTAAAAGTTATCAGAACAGTCAGATGAATGTTTCTGGTCCTGCCTTCTGCTGAAAGATAACTCCTACTAAAATGTATGACTTCTTACAAATGAGAATGGGCCTTTTACAAACTGAAGTTAAAACTAACATTGACTTTACTTATTTTTATGAAAATTAAACAAAACTTAAGCCTGCCTATTACCCACTCGTAATGCTCCTTACTTTTCAGAGCAAATCTGCTTGGTCTCCCCTACAATTCCTGATATGATTCTCTCTAGTGATTTAATGTAAGCTCCTATTTCTAGCATTACTTCATAAACCTAGTTAGCTGGCTGCTAAATTTAATCTGAAAAATAAACACGTTCAAGTTGTACAAATATCTGTTCAGACAAATGATTCTATAACCTTTTAAGTAACACCACTTAATTTCTGGAATTTAATTAAGCTTTAAAGTTTCAAAAATGATTGAGGGGGAAGTCTCGCCTTGGACAAGCAAATATAAGATTCTGCCCTGGATATTCCAGCTTTTATAGACTGTGAAAAATAAAGTTCTTTGTCACGTGACTATCTGAAATAGAAAACACTGCACATATTAAAAATTCACCTCACTACCTGCACCAACGTCTTAAGATATTTTAAAAATGTGTGTGTGGTGGAATTATGCATGCCAAGTTGCATCCAGTTATGTTTCAAAGGCACATTACAATCCTTGATTATATGAAAAAGCTAGCAGTCCCTTGATCACATAATGGTGCTGTTATACTCTTCTAATAAATGACCCTTTCTTTAAAAGTTGCAGGGTTCACCACCTTTTCACAGCCTTAATCCCTATGCAATAAGTCCCTACAATTTTAATAATCCCACAGACATAACTTAATATTGTTTTCACGTCAGCAAGTCAGTTCTATAAAACTGGTAACAGTACTATAAATTTTCTTACAAATACTTAGTAAGCAATTGCAGTGGTGGGATAAATATATTGTGATTTTCTTTTAAAGGTGATACAAATAAGCACAACTCCAATGTCTTAATATCAACAGCAAATTCTGATTGGCTATTTCAAGCACTTATGATGTATAACATATTGAAGAATATTCATAGTAACTTCTCATAGCAATGTATACTCTGAACATTCATTTTAAATGCATTTATAATGAACTAAGAATTGACCAAGATTATACAGCCAACCTATACTTTCCATGTTGAATGACATTCTGAATTATTAACCATGTAAAATATAAAATAAAAAAGTTCACTTTTTTATAAGACTGCTTTTTATAGCCAGCTACAAATTTTAAAAAAAACTGGAAGGAAAATATAAATTTAGGCTGACTTTCTTACTTGCTTTTTTAATTCTGCGCAACAGCAACTATCCTCCTTTGTGTGGACTACAAGAAAAAAAAAAAACAGGAATTTGGTAAGTAAAATATTATCATTGCCTCATTAAATGGCTCAATATAATGAGATTTTAGAGGAGGCAAGAATGTTAGTTATGGATGCACACAACTCATTTTTGAGCACTAGAATAAATTTTAAAATGAGTAATCTAAGTAAAAATCAATTACCTTGGTACAGAATACTTTGATTTCCAGAGTTGCTGTATTTGGCTAAACCATCCATGACTAATTTGTCAGCTATACTGAGAGCACTGTTTTCAAAACACTTCTCCACAGACACTGCATGAATATTCCTACTTATCCCTTTTACTGTGATCATGACACATTTATTTAATATTAATGTTTTTAGCAAATCTATTATTAGAGGAGACAATTCCATGATTCCTGGGTGGGGGGGAAGAAAAAAAAAGGAGACAACTGAGTTTTAGTTTAGACAGTAAATAGATAAGTTACACCTCTATACCAGGAGTTCTCATAACAAATCTTTGGTGGCCTTAGAGTGCGGTCACCAACTCTTGCTGGTGGCTGCTCTGACAATTTTTCCTAAAATACTTAACTGTAGGAAAAATACATATGCATATTTACATGTCCAAATCATTGTATTTTATTTATGTAGGATTTTCTTTGTATATTCAAAAAATAATGTACACTTCTGTCTATTCTTTACTGGACCTATACAGAATTGAAACACAGATTAATGTGCTTTGTACATTGTCCTTTTTCTTATGTCTTGTTTATTTTAAAAAAATTGCTAGTTACTAAGTCTGCTGTGAAAATGATTAATGCAGTCAAGCGATTAAAAAAAATCATTAATCACATTTCTACATTTTCAAATATATTGATTTAAATTTCAACACAGTGCTCTCTTATTCTGATTACAAATATTTGCATTATAAAAATCAAAATAAATAGTATTTTTCAATTCCCCATTACAAATACTGTAGTGTATCATGAAAGTTGAACTTACACAAGTAGAATTATGTACAAAAACCCACATTCAAATATAAAACAATGTAAAACTTTAGAGCCTACAAGTTCACTCAGTCCTACTTCTTGTTCAGCCAATTGCTCAGACAAATAAGTTTGTTTACATTTGAATGAGATAATGTTTCCTGCCTCTTGTTTACAATGTCACCTGAAAGTGAGAACAGGTAATTCACATGGCACTGTTGTAGCTGATGCTGTAAGACAGGGCAACTCAACTTTGGAAGCCCCGGAGGCCACAATGATACACTCACAGCACAAGACTACACAACACGCAGGTCCCATTTAAGTCTATTCTGCTGATATTAATAAAATGCAATGTTTACCCGATTTCCACCCATATGACAGCACTTTTAATGAGCAATGACAGTCCAGGAATTTAACTTCTAAAATGCATATCAACAGAAGACCATTATATTGACTACTTTTTTGTTTTGGCTTCACAACAGTCCAAGAATTTAAATACTAAAACACATATCAACCCAAACCACACCGTGGGCCGCAGGCCGTGTTTTGAGTAGCCCTGTTGTAAGATATTTACATGCCAGCTGCGCTAAGGATTCACGTGTGCCTTCGAGCTTCAACCACCATGCCAGTGGCCATTCACCTATGCTGATGACTAGTTCTACTTGATAATGATCCAAAGCAGTGCAGACTAATGCAAGTCAGATGCCAACAACAGAAAGTTTATTTTTGGTGGTTCATGTGGTGTAGTTTCTGCACTAGAATGTTGCTCTTTCAAGATTTCTGAAAGCATGCTCCACACCTCATCCCTGTCAGATTTTGGAAGGCACATCAGATTTTTAAACGTTGAGTCAAGTGCTGTAGCTACCTTTAAAAATCTCACATTGATAAAACACAAAGAAAGTACCAAATCTGCAGTTAAAGTTTTCTTAAAATGAACATGTGCTGGGATATCATCCAAGACTGCTATAAACTGCAATTATTTTATGCAGGCAAAAAAAAAAAGCAGGAAACATACAATTCTCTCCTGGCCCCAGGAGTTCAGTCACAAATTTAATTAATGCATTTTTTTTAAAAAAAGTGTCATCAGCATTGATGTCCTCTGGAATGGTGGCTGAAGCATGATGGGGCATACAAATTAAGGAAGTAAAATCCTGTTTAATTAGGTAACCAGTTTAATAATTTAACTGGTTAACTGATTAAATGGGGCAGTGGGCTGAAGGCCTTCCCCCCCGCTGTGATTGGGGCTGCTCCAGCCAGGCTGGAATGCTCCTGCTCATGGGCCACTGGGGCTGGTCCTGCAATGGTCAAGGGCTGTTCTGGTCAGGCTGGAGCACCCCACAGCATGCTGGGGCCAGGTCCGTCACAGACTGGAGCTGCTCCAGCCTCCACCAGTTAAATGTAACTGGTAAGCCTCAGAGGTTAAGGGTGAGGCTTACCTGTTAACACCCCCTAATACAACTAGTGTATCTGGATCAATACCTTATAATGCCTGTTATAAAAGTACCAGGCAAGCCACCAGTTCTTGTTTTCAGATGACAGTGTAAATAAGAAGTGGGCAGCATTATCGCCTATAAATGTAAATAAACTTGTTTCGCTAAGTGAGTGGCTCAACAAAAAGTAGGACTGAAGACCTGGAGGCGACAAAGCTACATATTGTTTTGTTTGAGTGCAATTATGTAACAAAAAAACCCTGAATGTGTAAGGTACACTTTCATGATGAGATTGCACTACAGTACTTGTGGGAAGTGAACTGAAAAATATTCTCGTTTATCATTTTAAAGTGCAGATTTTACTTTTTTAATCACGATTAATTGTTTAGTTAATCAGGTGAGTTAATTGTAATTAATCAACAGCCCTAATATTAATATAGAAATATCACATTACTTTTCACAGCAAACTTCTCAGCCCCAACAAGCCTGGGGACAAATTAAGCCCTGGACAGGAAGGTACATGTGATGGCAGCAGGGGCACTTGGGAAGACAGTGAGGGTCAAAGGTTATGGGGGGGGTGACCTTAGAGCCAGAGCCTACCAGCACAGGGGCTGGGGAATGCAGCCTGAACCCTCATGGCTGGAACCTGCCAATCAAGGGCTAAAGCCTGACCACACTGACCCTAGGAAGGTGGAGAACCCAATTGCTGTCTCCTCCTTCCAGCTTGTGTCTCTCCAGAGGTTGGCAGGGCCCAACACTCTGCTGGAGATCCTGGAGAAGGAGATTGTTGCTCCCCCTCCACCATCACCATCCAGGAAGCTGTGAAAGAAAAGTCCCTGGTAGCCGCATGTGAGAAACGCTACTCTACTCTGCCACTTAAATCTTTAAGTAATGCTATTAAAACCTGGAAAATACTACAAAACAAAAAAGTAAATACAACATGCAGCTTTATCATTAAATTAGGAGCAACCTGGTTTTTTAGTTGTAGTTTTTTTTCCTCCAGTACCTAAAGTAATTGAGAACATTTTCAAATTAGTCCTTCTGGGTTTGAAAGAAAGACTTTACAATGCTAATCTGTGTATTGTTTTGTTGAGTCGTCATCTAGATGGACAATATAACAGGGGTTAATGATAACATTAAAAAAAATTCTATGACCAAATAGACTCTAAATACTCTACATGGTGTTTGCTCATGTTTCTACCTGAAAGCGAACATTTAATTATCTGAAAAGGGAGCTTCAAGTAACGTGCAGTGATGGGCAGCACTCTAGAGAATGGTAGAGTTTCGGTGTTTCCATAGTCTGCATAGGCTACCTTCACCTCAGACTGAGAAACTCCTAGAACAACAGCTCTGTACCAGAGGCCATCACCTGAATAAAATTGGAAAAAAACAAAAAAAAAAACCTCTTTACTTTCAAAATAGGATTCATAGTTACATAGTACTCTGTACAGCTTTCCAGAATTTAAAGGATATTTTATTATTCGGGGTACATATATATTGAAAAAGCTAAAAACAACCCCACACCCACAAAATAAAACACTAGGTAACATTACATATGTTTCAACCCCACTCCCCAACTTTTCTTAAGAAACTCAGTTTCTGTTCAAAACTATCACATGTTTTTTGACAGGAAAATCTGAAGAAGAAATCTGGGTGAGGGCATGGGACAGAAGAGAAAGACTTTAGTTTTCTCCAAATTGTTCCATCTGAGGCCGAGTTTGCTAGTTCAGTCACCCTGAACTAGGGAATGAGAGTATTCCACCCATCTTATGTGTTACAAATCACAGAATCATAGAATACTAGGACTGGAAGGGACCTCAAGAGATCATCAAGTCCAGTCCCCTGCCTTTATGGCAGGACCAAATATGGTCTAGACCAGTGGTCCCCAACCATTTAAGGTTGCCGGGCGCCAGGGGGCGTGGCCGTTCGTCCGCCAGGTGCCGCGCGCCCAGTGCCAGCGCCCCTCCCCCTCCAAGCGCCCGGGGCCAGCGCCCCCCCTCCAAGCGCCACGCACCCGGGGCCGGCTCCGGCACCATGCATGCACCACGTGCCCAGGGCCAGGCCAGCCCCAAGCACTTGTATGCGCTACATGCCCAGAGCCAGGCCAGCCCCGAGCACGTGGCGAGCGCACACGAATGCCCCCACGGGCGCCATGGCGCCCGCGGGCACTGTGTTGGGGACCACGGTTATAATGTAACAGAAAACATTTGCATTGCACATATCCCTATAACTAAAGCCATGTCTACACTACTAAAAGAAGCTGACCTAGCTTCTGTGGGCAGAGAGCCACCACACCAATTACATGGCTTGTGATATTTATCTAACCTACTCAAATATCTCCAATGTAACAGAAAACATTTGCATTGCACATATCCCTATAACTAAAGCCATGTCTACACTACTAAAAGAAGCTGACCTAGCTTCTGTGGGCAGAGAGCCACCACACCAATTACATGGCTTGTGTGGCTCTTCTCTTTGCTCCTTGTGTCAGCAGTGTGACTGCTCCTGAGGAGAGCTTGTGCCACGTGGACTGTCCATGGGGTGCATTGTGGGACACTTTCTGAAAGCCAGCAATGGACAGGTGGAGATGGCGTCACTAAGCCAGGTTGCAGGGCAGTTACCTCAGCGGGAGCAACATCTAAGTGTGGACACCTCCTTAGCTGCCTTGTGTTGCCTTAACACTGGGGTGTAGAACCCCTCAAACAGAAAGAAGCCTCCGGTAGTTCAGTGGAGACCAGGAACCTGCTCCTTCACACACATTTGAAGGAAAGTGCTTATCATGTGTGATCATCAGAGATAAAAGGCTCTAACTGCTTCCCCGTCTCCGGCATCAGAGAACGAGCCCATGGGAGAAGTGACCCTGTCAGCTTGTTTCTGTGAGACAAAGCTCTAAATACGGATACAAGGAAAACTTTAAAAAATCTTTATCTCTGGACTGTTTGGATTCTAAGGGTGCATCTACACTGCACTGTAACTCGAAATAAGATACGCACTTTGAGATACGCAGATTGAGTGTCTTATTTTTATGCTATTTCGAAATAGCTTATTTCATCATTTGGTGCTGTCTACACAGCGCCAGATTTTTAAACAAAGTGCTATTCTGAAACATCCTTTACTTTCCATAAATGAGGTTTACAGGAATGTTGGAGTAGCGAGCCCAAAATAACGGGCTTGCTGTGAAGACGCGGGATAGCTATTTCGGTATAGTTCGGAATCCTGAAATAGTGTTGCAGTGTAGAGATCAAGGTCATCAGGTAAGGCCATGTGAACAGACACTGGCTCCTGTTCCAAATCCTTGTCTGCACAGCTCGGTGGTACAAGCAAAATCTTGCATAGAAAACGAAGCAATGACTATTCCTGGGTCTTGAACCCAGTTTCACAGGATTCATAGGGGCAACCACACTCCAACCCTTGATGCAGAAACTCCACTTGCAATGGTTTACCTTAGACCCATGAAGCCCAGCCTCAGGATGTGGCTCCATCTCTGAGCACCAACTGGCAGAGTCCCAGAGCAACTGATTGGCACACTAGCCCTGCTTAAGCGCACAACAGGAAAGGGAAACTATCCAAACGTCTGGGAACCACAAAGTTCTGAACTGTGTGCTTTGTGCTTCCTGTTCCTGCTGCTTGATTTCCAGACGGGGGGCTAGAGCAGCCTTCTGCCCATGGTGGGCCTCAGGGGCCTGAAGCAGCCCCCATCAGCTAACTGTAACCTGTAAACCATTAACATCCCTATCCTCCACATCTCTTAATCCCCATAATCTTTCAAATAGACAAGTAAATTCAAATACAGGACTATGTAGCACTTTAACAGGGCAGAATAGCTAACCAAGAAGATGGAGAACCCCACAGTTATTCTGGGTAGGCCTGGGAGATTTGTGGGGAACTGGCAGATTGCTACATCACAGCTACCATTTGCATTTATAGACTGTAACTCACCTGTTCATATATTTTACATGCTTTAACCTCTTAATAATTAACCTCATAATAATTTTCACTTTTTTCCCTAATAAATCATTGTTTGGATTACTATAGAACTGACTACTGACACAGTGTGAGATCTAACATGCAACTCAACCTGGGTGAGTGATTGATCTCTTGGGACAGGAGTAATTCTGGTGTGATTTTTGGTGTAAGTGAGCATTTCTTATAGGGTATGTCTACACTAGCCCCCTAGTTCGAACTAGGGAGGCTAATGTAGGCATTCGAAGTTGCAAATGAAGCAACACCTCATTCCATGAGGAGTAATACAAACTTCAACTCCGTTAGCCATCTCTTTTTCTGATTTGTCTTCTGTGCCTATATTTAACACTGGTTTGTAGTATTTCTGTCTCTCTCTCCTGGTTCTATGGACAAATCTGACACACTTGTGTTTCACTTTATAGGAATGTCCTTTTACTAGCAGTTATACTACTTTGGACTGTAATCTTGACACCAATGGTTCAATCACTTAAGTAGGTACTGGCCTCGCCAGTGCTTGGCAAGAGCTACAAGCAGTGATATTTATGGATTTCTTTAGCAGAACTCTTCTTTGAATCAATACTGAAATAAGCCTCTGCTCTGGATTGCTCATGAAAAAAGATTTATTTTGGATAACATATAAAACCATTTAGGGTTAGAGGCATTCACTCAAGTAGCCTCACTGAATTCCAGATCATTTTATTTCCTCTCCCTAAAACTCTATTGATTTTCAGATGCACACAGTATCCCTTGATTATTAAATACAAAATGAAATATGGCAATGTTTGTGGCATGTAAAGGATTTTACAAATCTCTCTTTTCTTAAAGGATTGGACTTTGCCATCTATCCTTTATAAAATGTAATTCAGCAATTAAGAACACTCTTCCCTTTTTTAAACACTTAAGAACTTTCTCACCTGAGAACTTGGCACAACAGGCTTCACCAACTTTTGGTCTGAAGGAGTGACTGTTCTGAGTGTTACAATATTCTACCAGTTCAGTCATCAACCTCTGCAGTTTCTCTTGATCTACTATTAATAAGTGAACAGAATCTGTTAGTACTGCACAAAGTTTCAGACATTAATACACATACCATAAGAAAGCCTATTAAGCATGATTTTACCTAAATTCTCAAAGTTTTTAATAAAAAAAATTGTATTTTCTGAGTTTTTCTTACTGAGATGTATTTGATAGTCTTACAATTCATTGTGTTAAACATCTTGCATCTGTCTTCCAAATATATTGTTACAAAGTAGATGAACCAAGAGATTTTCTTAATTAAAAAAGTACATATTGTTTCTTACCTCTGGTTTCAGTTGGCAGAACATAAAACAAGTCTGGGCTTACCACTTCCATTACACGGACTGACACAGTTTCATTGACAGGCAATTCTATTGTCTGCCACTGCTCAGAAGAAGTTTCTGAAATAATTAGAGACAGAGCAAAGCACTTCTACAAATATATACACAAATTCACCACAGTTACACATGTCTACCACCAACTTAAGTAATATCTCCAGTCTAGCAACACGTTCAAATCATTTTAGTGTGACTACAGGGAAATTACAACTGAACATTGACACTAACACACTGGATATTCTGTTCATCAGCAAATATCTAATTTTCTTAGACTATTAATTAATTGTAATATTGCTAAAAATAACCTAAAAACAAATAGCATTCCACTCTTTACCTCAAGGTTGCTATAATTTGTTACAGTATATTTAAATTATAGCTTAACACATAACCCCAATGACTTGCACATTTATCTATCATGTCACCTGCAGGACAACTTGCATCTAATCACAAACTTCATGATGCATTTACATCTTAGACATGGTCAAAAGGAGAATCAGATTGAGGAATACTCAATTTTCTTATCAATCCAATCAAAAAAGAAATTAACGAGACTGCTTTCATCACCTTGAAGCTCTATTTTCTCAGCAGAGGTATTTGGTAGCCCATCTTTACTTGGCAGACCTTCCTTTAAAGCCAATTTTTCACTAATTAAAATTTCACTGATTATTCTTGGACAATCTGTGGAATTATCAATAAGCTCTATTCCAGCACCACTTTTGTTGAAACAAACTGCTCTGGCTTGAAGTTTAATTCCTGCAGTGCACATCTGAAATCTTGCCGTGGCTTCTGGGAGCCATTGCTTGTTAAGAGGCTTTACACCTAAGGAAATAAGACAAGACATAACACAACCTTTTCTTAATCACAATTTTAAATAATTAACTTAAGTAATATCTCCAGTCTATCAACATGCTCCAAAAGACCTATTATGCTGCCACAAGGAAAGTGTAATTTAAGTATAACTAATGCAAAATGAGCTAGGCTTCCGAGTAAATATCAGTTCCTCTTAAAGAATCAGCTCCATAAGTTTAAGGATTCTGGCGTTTATTCCTGAATCTGTAACAGACTCTGCATGACTGTCAATAAGTCAATTTGCCCTCTACATCTGTTCCCCTCACTATCTGTAAAAGAGGGTGGCACTATATGGCAATTCAGAGTTTGTAAAGCAGTTTAATAATTCTCATTTGGAAAATAATAAGAAGGCAGAGTATTAACTGACAGAAGGGAACAGCTGTTTTTGAGCCAGACTGCTCTTCCTCGTCTCTTATATATAACTGGAGGATTGGTAGTTTAGGAATGCATCCCTGAAAGCACAGATCATTCATTAGGAAAAAGGTGGGTCAGGGAAAGTGTCAGATTCCTTGCCAAATAACCATTTCAACCTTTATTGAACTAAGATGGGATCTTGAAACTTTTTCACTTTGACTGGTGTGAGGGGGTCTTATTCCAAATCAAAGCAGGACAGATAGACCCATAGCTCCACATCCACTCTGTACTGGGTTGCTTCTGCATTGCCCTTAAGAAGATGATAAAGCTGGGTAGAGCTTAGATTGGGGCAAACTATAGGAGATGAGCAGCAATAAATATGTAGATGTAATGGTGAAAAGTTTTCTGGTGATGAGAAACTTTGCCACTGAGTTCACAAAGAGAATCACTTCTATGTTAAGAAGAAAAACATGGTTGAAACTTTTTTTTTTGTTAAACACACATCAAAGGAATGTCTAGACTACATTGTATTTTCGAAAAAACGTCACCTGCATCCACACTGCAATTGCGTTCTTTCCAAATTAAATTGAAAGAATGCAGGGATTTTTTCAACATTGGTAATCCTCAAATTACGAGGAAGAACGCTTTTTTCGAAAGAGCTCTTTTTTGAAAAAAGGTATGTGCAGATGCAGAACAGACATTTTTCAGAAGAGGCAGTCGAAAAAAAGCACAGGTGCCCTGGTGACCATTCTGAGAATAGCAATCAGGGCTTTCTTTCAAGAGTATGTAGCACTTTAAAGACTAACAAGATGGTTTATTAGATGATGAGCTTTCGTGGGCCAGACCCACTTCCTCAGATCAAATAATGGAAGAAAATAGTCACAACCATATATACCAAAGGATACAATTTAAAAAAAAATTAGCAGGTGACCTAACCTGCATCCTACTTCAGAAGACATTCAAATCTGCACTTGAAAGGGAATCCTCTGAACTGGCATTCATGCTAAAATTCGACACTCTCCGCAGGGGAATTAACAAAGACTCCAACTATCTTACCCATTACAAAGATAGCTTCCCCAATTATCACCTCTAATACTATTAACTCACAGACATTTCCCCTTCCCCACCTCTAATATCATTAACTCACTGGCATTCACCTTCCTTCCCCCTCCCCCTTCTGTTCTGTAATGTGATTTGTCCTTTTTCACCTGCTAATTTTTTTTTAAATTGTATCCTTTGGTATATATGGTTGTGACTATTTTCTTCCATTATTTGATCTGAGGAAGTGGGTCTGGCCCACGAAAGCTCATCATCTAATAAACCATCTTGTTAGTCTTTAAAGTGCTACATAGTCCTGTATTTTGTTTCAGCTACACCAGACTAACACGGCTACATCTCTATCACTATTCTTTCAAGAGAGCATCCATGCAGTCTGGACACTTTTGAAAAAGCAGATTGCTTTTTCAATCCGGTTTTGAGGTGTGGATGCTCTTTTTTCTAAGGAAGCTTTTTCAAAGTCTAGATGTACCCTTAGTGAAAACAAGAAGTTACTCACCTTGTGCAGTAACAAGGGTTCCTCGAGATGGGCCCCCGTGGGTGCTCCACTCATGGTGACTTCGTAGCAGTGCTCTCACTGTGTTCCCGGAGTTCTGGTTTATCAATGACTGAAAGCACTGCTGAAGATACTGAAGATTCAGGTATCCATCTACACACTATTGCATAGTGGTTCACAAAAGTCAAACTGGAAGACCATGTGGCTGCTCTGCAGATTTCCGGCAGAGAAACTCCTCTGGCAAAAGCAGCGGAAGTTGCTCCCGCCCTAGTTGAATAAGCTCTAGGTAAAGTCTGGAGGGGCTTGTTTTGCATCGTATGGCACATGGCAATACAGGAAACTATGATATTAGACAGACTTTGGGAAGACAATGCATTGCCCTTGGAGTGATCTGCTATAGATACTATTAAATGATCAGTCTTACGCCAGGTTCGTGTTCTGTCTATATAGAATGCCAATGCTCGACGTACATCCAGGGTATGAAGCAGGGAGTCCAGATTTGAAGTATGAGGCTTAGGATAAAAAACAGGCAAAACGACTGGTTCATTAACATGAAATTGCGTAGCGACCTTAGGGATAAAGGCTGGGTGAGTACGTAGCGTAACTGAGTCCTTGGTGAAAACTGTGAAAGGAGGCATTGCCATTAACGCTGCCAGTTCACTGACCCTGCGGGCGGATGTAATGGCCAACAAGAACACTACCTTGGTATTGAGCATTGATAGTGAAGTGGTGGATAGAGGCTCAAAAGGTGGGTACCATTAATGCATCAAGTACCAGATCCAAGTTCCAAGCAGGGGGAATGGGTCTTCGCTGAGGTTTAAGATTAGCTATCCCCTTAAGCAGCCTTTTGGTCATGGGGTGAGTAAATACCGAATGACCTTTGATGGTGGTGTGGAAGGCGGTAATTGCAGAGAGGTGAAAGACCAGCCTGGTGCAAAGACAGGATATAATCAAGGATCCTATGCATTGGTGCAGAATGCAGTTGAATGTCAATTCTGCCACACCAAACCACAAATCTCTTCCATTTTGCCAAATAGGAGTTCCTTGTGGTTTGCCTCCTGCTGTTCAACAATACAGTCTTTACAGCTTCCGAGCAGAGTTGCTCGTCTACCCCGAACCACTTATGAGCCACGCTGTTAGGTGAAGGTTCTCTGGTTTGGGGTGAAGCAACAATCCCTGATTCTGGGAAAGGAGGTCTGGAAGGAGAGGTAAGGGGCACGGTGGTAATCGGGACATTCTGTGGAGGAACGGGTACCACGGTTGTCTCGCCCAGGCTGGTGCCAGAAGTATGATGTGGGCTGAATCTTCCCTGATTTTCACATAAGGGATAAGTACCATTGGTGGGAATGCATAGTGTAGAGGTGCCGTTCAACAGACTAGTAATGCATCGCCCAGAGAGTCCTTGCCAATTCCCCCTCTGGAGCAGTAAAGGTGACATTTTTTGGTTTTGTAGGTTGCAAAGAGGTCTATTTGTGGAAGATGTCTTCCAAGACGTTGGGACGAATCTCCCACTCATGGTCCTGAGGAAAAATTCTGCTCAGAGCATCCGCCGTGACATTGCTCGTACCTGGTAAGTATGATGCTACCAGAGTGGTACGGTTCCTTATACACCAGTTCCATAGTCAGCGTGATCGTGCTCCTCCCTGCCGATTGATATAATACATAGCAGCTATGTTGTCCGTAAGTACTCAGATGGTTGTATCAGCTATAAGTGAATGGAAATGTTTGCAGGCAAGAAATATGGCCTTCAGCTCTAGGAGGTTGATATGTGAAAGGGTCTCTGGTGCAGACCATCTGCCCTGCACGAACAGACCCTCGATGTGCGCTCCCCACCCCAAGAGGGAGGCGTCTGTAGTCAACTGGATCGATGGTTGTTGACATTTGAATGGAACTCCTGCTAGCAGATTTCCCGGGCACAACCACCAACCCAGAGATCTGCGAACTAGAGGAGTAGGAGTTACTACTTTGTGCATGGAATGCATTACCGGAATGTACATGGAAGTCAACCAATGCTGTAGACAACGGAAATGAAGTCTGGCATGTTGAACCACAAAGGTGGTAGCAGCCATATGGCCCATAAGGAGGAGACAGGTAAGTACCGTGACCGTAGGCACCTGGATGACTACTGTGGCCAGATCGTGTAAAAGTTGAAAGCGCTCCTGAGGTAAGTATGTATGGGCCGTGATGGAATTGAGGTGTGCGCCTATGTAATGTATAGCCTGTGTGGGATCCGGCGAAAACTTCTTTTCATTGATTATGAGCCCAAGTGAGAGAAATGTCTGTCTGACCAGTGTCACCATGTGTTGGACTTCTTGACTGGACCTGCCCTTTATGAGGCAGTCATCCAAATATGGAAATATGATTACATCTCTGCACTGCAAGTGAGCTGCTACTACCTCCAGGGTTTTTGAAAACACTGGGGGCAGATGCAAATCCAAACAGTAGCACTCGGTACTGGAAATGGTCGTCGCCGATAGTGAAACAGAGAAAACGCCTGTGAGCTAGATGTATGGCTATGTGAAAATAGGCGTCTTGCAGATCGAGGGCCGCAAACCAATCGTCCTTCTCTAGTGACGGTAATATCTCGGAAAGGGTCATCTTGAATCTTTGACGGCAAAGGTATCTGTTCAGTTTCCTGAGGTCGAGGATCGGCCACCACCCTCCGGTCGTCTTCTCTGTGAGAAAATACCTCGAATAGAAGCCCCCTTCCTCTGAACTGGGGGGGGCACGGGCTCTATTGCTCCTATGGAGAGCAAACACTGTGCCTCTTCTTTTAAGCGGCTCTCGTGAAAGAGGTCCCTGAAAAGGGATGGGGTTGGTGGATTTGTGGGTAGTATGGTAGTGAAGGGGATGGTGAGCCCAGATACCACCAGTTGTAATACCCAGAGGTCTGATGTAATTGCCATCCATTGGTCTCGAAAAGGTCAAAGTCGATGGTGAAAAGAGGAACCTTGTGCTGTTGCTGGTGTTCCGTCACAGTAGGGAGTCGCTGCAAGCCCTCGATCGAACCATCAAACTTGCTGCTTGAGCAAAATGGTTGAGATCGTTTGCGTTGACGGCGCTGTCTTTGGCGTGATTGATCCATGACTCGCTGTTGGTGTTGCCTTTGATAAGGGTAATTGTACCTCTTCTGGTACGGGTAATACTTCTTGCACCTAAATGGGGGTGTATACATTCCCAAGATGCGGAGTGTAGACCTGGAATCTTTTCCAGAATGAAGGATCTCATCTGTCTTTTCTGCGAATAATTTGTTTTTATCAAAAGGGAGATCCTCGACTTTTGCGTGGAGATCTTTTGGGACTGCCGCGGAAGCCAACCAAGAGGAGTGCCTCATTGTTATTGCAGTCGCCGTGGTTCGAGCTGCCGTATCCGCTGCATGCAAGGAGATCTGCAGACTCTCCATGGATGCTGTAAAACCCTCCTGCACCAGGGATTTTAAGAGGGGGCGCTTGCTCTCTGGGAGGTATTGGAGAAGCCAAGATATTTTCTCATAATTATCAAAATTATGATTCGACAATAACACAGCATAATTAGAGATATGCAAGAGAAGGGTTGCCGAGGAGTAAACTTTTCTGCCAAATGTGTCCAACTTTTTGGTATCCGGCATAGTCTTATACTGTGGTGCCTTGGCCCATTGCTGTACCGCATCCACCACTAGGGAATTTGGCTGCAGTGTTCTTGGACGGAACAAAATATCGTCTATCGGTTCTCTGGCAGGTTGAGGCCACCATAGATGGTGTCTGCCAAATAGTGTCGGCTGCCTCCATAATGGCTTCCTCAATAGGGATGGCAAGCTTTGCACTCTGCCAGAGGTGCAAGTTTGTCAGCAGCCAGTGTTGTTTCGTTTGAGACTGCACTATCTGTATTTCCTGGGATTGAACCCCCACTTGAATAGATCCTGAAACTGTTTAAAATCATCCGGCGGGGACAAGTCTGGTGGAAAGACCACAGCACGTGACAATAAAGGTGAACCATCAGGAACCGGGTCTTCAGATCGATGATTGTCCCGCTCAGAATTGACCATCCTCTAGGTCTGAGTGGTGCGATGTGGCCTCCCGGCTGCGTGGCAGAGAAGCCAAGTTATAGTCACAGTGGTGATGTGACAGACAATGTCTCATTGATGACAGATTATAACGTGAGGAGCATTGGAAGTCATAATAATGTGTGAACATAGAAAGAATTATACTATAAGAGAAAGATGAATTATGCTGTAATAATTGAATAAATTAAAGGAATACTGTTTGTCTCTGAACAGGAAGAAGAAAAGCATGTTAATGTTGTTTGTAGGTATGCAGATCAGAGTGCTAGCCAGGTAGGCCTGAGGGTTAATAGGAAAAGGAACATTAGGTGTTAGGGAGAAAGCAATTGAGATAACCAGGGAGATATGGACAGGAGATTGCTGTGTGCTTGATGTGGAAATGAAGATACTTGACTAGCCTCACACTAATCCTGTGAAGTTTTGCCCCTCTTTTAATCCTGTTTTGGCTTTCTTTTGACTGTATAAAGCAAGGGGTTTGAACCTTGTATGGCACCCACATTTTCTGGGTGCATTTAGCAGAGCGGCTTTGCTAATAAACAGAGCGGTCTGACAAATCTGTGAGTCCTGTCTAACTTTGACAGATAGGAGCGTGAACATGTTGAGCACGAAGAAGAGCGATGGTATTCAAAATAACTATCTGATAGATGAAGAGACGAGCACCTAGATGATCTATTTCTAGTATGCTGTCTCTCGTGCCTGCTATGTGGAACGTAGTAATAAGGACGTTCATATGGTGGAGAATAAGATGGACCTCTATAGTAACTCCTGTAATGGGGGCGCCCATACGGGGACTGTTGTCTATAATAAGTATGGTGCCTGGGGCTGTGTTGTTGGTAACCATGATGGCATGGTGAGCCATACTCCATTGGAGGAGAGGGGCCAGGCAAAAATTTTGGGGAAGGAGAGAAGTGCAAGTCCTGTCCCCGTATTGTTAATGGTGCCTCTGATTGTGGGTGCCTCTGTAATTCCGGCTCCCACTCCGGTGCCGTACAGTGATCAGCTGTTGCTGCAGGGCTGCATCTACCAGTGCCGAGGCTGTTTGCAATTCATAAGCCCCATGTGACACCTGCATTAGTGGCTGAAGAGGTGACGGTGCTGAAGGGCATAGCCGCGGGTGTGTGCTGGTCAGCAGCTGTCCGGTGGGGTGAATAGAGCAGTGCCAGTGCATTCTGAGCATGCAGCACCACTTGCCCGCACCGTAGCTGATTTCGGTGCCAGCAACTCTGCTCCCTGTGATGCCGGCACCGGGAAAGCCTTGTGAAGTGGCACCGCTGTCCGCGCAGCTTTTTCTTGCACCTTTGAAAAAGAGCGGTGTGGTGCCAGCAACTTCTTAGTAGAGGCTGCGCTTGCCGGCACCGAGGCTGCTGCCGAAAGCACTCTCTCTGCTGCTGCCACCATGAGGAGGATCGAGGGGCAAGGGCAGATGGGTCACAGTCACCTACCACCAATATATCGGGTGGTAGGGATCTGGCTGAGGAGAGTCTTTGCATCTTCTCCCTCAGATCCGGGGAAGAAATCCTCTGTTCAGGGGTTCTCCCCCTGTCCAACATTTTCTGCCCTGGGGTCCAGCGCTTTATCAAGTAGAAACATCTTCAGCCTCATCTATCTCTATCTCACCAAGTTCGGACTGTCATTTTCGCACAGTGTCCGCACTTGTGGGGAGTGTGGCTTTCCCTCAGGCAACGCACACAAAGCGAATGCCCGTCTGACAGAGGCATTGGCTCACTACAATGGCCACATTTCCTGAAACCTGGAGAGCCAGGCATGATTGTTGATCAGTTTCTTCCTGAGACAAAGGTTTTGTTTGTTTTTTTTGTTCTTTCAGCTGATCCGGGGCTGTTAACAGCGGGAAGCCGCTGTAAGCTGCGGTTTAAATAAAGAGGTTTCCTCCTTCGGTGTTTGTTCGTTTTTTTAATTCAGTAAACAAGATCAAAGAACAATAAAGGTAATCTAACTATATACGATTAACTATTTAACTACAGATTCCCTGAGGGAAGGAGAACTGCTGTGAGGAAGAGATCAGAGCTCCAGCTGCATTCAGGGACCGTTAAGAGGAACTGACAGGGAAGCTGGGTGCATGCAAAGATCAAAGAGCACAAACAGCGCGAGCTGTATCTTGCGCACGCGCACCCCGAATGAAAACAGCTATACAAAGCATCCGAGCTGCAGTGCGGGACAAGCCCGACACCATGAGTGGAGCACCCACGGGGACCACTCGAAGAGGAAACATGCTATATTAAGTTCTACTATGCCTGCAACTCTACATGATTTCTAAATATAAAATAGGAGTTATGTCAGAATGCTTAGCAGAAAGTAATTCTAAAATATATTTAAATGAAGACTTACCTGATAACCAACACTTAATTCCTTGAAATGGAAGTTTTAGGAATGCAGACGAGATGTGTCGAAGCTTATCTGGAGTTACTTCCTCAACATTTCCATAATCCACAAATTGCACTTGAATAGCTCCATCTGAAGAGATTTCTTTTACCAAAGCACGGTACCAGTTATTATCACCTAGTATTTAAAAGAATTGTGATTTCCCACAATTAACTAAATCATAAGTAGAACTAATTTACTTTCTTTGAAAGAGAAAATGGGCCTTAATTTCTGCTGCCTTGCACAGTATGTAATCAGTTACATGAATTTAAATTAGGTGTAAAATATTGCTATTCTGATTTGACAGCATTTTATATTAATTCTGTACTGCTTTGAATGACTACCAAAGGTGCAGGACAATGGGCAATCAAGCCTTTTCCACAATATCAGTACAGTTTTCATCCAGAAATGAAAACATACAAAAATGATGCAAGTATCCTATAACATGCCAAACAAAGAAAAATCCAATATTTAATTCTTGAAAAGCAACAACTTTATCTAAGGTAATAATTAAACCTCTCTCTCTCTCTGTACTATTTACTTCTGTTAAGACTATATTAACAATAATATTGGTTACACGTATTTTGGATCTGAAAGGTTGCTAACTGTTCAGCCCCTGGAGTCACTGTTCACACATACTTGGTTTATCACTGTCAACTGCAGGTCTAATTTCTTTCCTTGTTCAACTTAGCAACATACCACACACATTAAGACCATGCTCAAAACATCTGAAAAATTTAAAAAGCTGCATATTAAACAAAATATTTGCCAATTCAAAGATAAAGCTGCATTTTCCACTAAAGATATTTTTGTAAATGCAAAAATAAAAAAGAGTATGTGATAATATTACTTACCAGAGAAAAAAGCACAGCAAGGTTTTCCCTTTGAAGGTTTGAAAACACTAGTTGAAGTATGCTGGCAGTATTCTGCCAGTGACTTGTTGAGTAAATTTAGAGCAAGTAAATCTAAGCAGAATGCAAAAAAACAAAAAAGACAACCAATCTTAATGCATCTTTAGAATCAGCAGGTAAGTGATTTTGAGATAGTGTCATGCAGAATGTCAATTTACTGGGTCCCATTAATAGCATAATTAGAAAAGTTTAAAAAATATCACAAGATACCCCTGATTTAGGGTAAAGCAGTATTAATAAATTCATATATAAAAATCTAGTACAGGTTTTCTCCCTCATCCAGCACCCTCAGGACCTGATCCATCCCAGGTGAGGGATTTTGCCAGACCAGGGGTGGTCATTTCTGGCCCCTCTGCTGCCAGCCCCTCCAGCCTTGCTCAACCGCTGCCCTCCCAGCTGGCTCCCTCCTCTCACTGGCACTGTCAGCCCTGCTTCCCTAGCAGGCAGCCCTACCACCTGTGTGAGAACCTGGCTCCTGCTGCAGTGCTCGGCAGCCCTGCTCCCTTTGCTCACCGGGCTCTCAATGCCACGCTGTGCAGCCACGCTGTGCAGCCCCACTGCACTGAACACTAGGTTCCCACTGCAGCCCCTCAGCCTCTGAATTGGGCTTCTGCTGTCACACATGGGGCTCCCGCAGCCCTGCAGGGAAGCACTACTACCTTGCACGTTTGCAGGACTACCTGGTGCTAGCCCTCCACTTGGACTCTGTAGTCCTGGAATGTCCGTGGTGCCAGACCAGAGAGTCCTGGTTAAGAGTTTCAACCTGTACTGTTAGATTTAAATGGTTGTATTATTGGTCAACTAAAAATATACCAGAAATCTCTGGATAAAACGAGACAGCTAGACCTAAGCTCAATGAGACTGTTTTTCCATCACTTTAAATATTCTTGTGCCTCTAGTCTGAATCCTTTCCAATTATTATTATTATTTTTTTTTAAAAAAAGAGTGCTGGCACTAGAATTCGACACAGTATTCCAGTAATGGTTTCAATAATGCTGTATACATCCCTACTCCTCCTTGATATTCTCCTGCTTGGGCCTCTATTGGTTGCATTAGTCGTCCTAGCCACAGCATTCCAGTGGGAGCTCATGTTCAATTTTTCGTCTAATTCCTTTATTTCTTTTCAATGTCACTGCATCCGGGATACTCTCTCTCACTTTGTAAAAGGTGACCAATATTCTTGGTTCCTAGATATCTGATCTTGAATATGCATTTTAATAAGGACAAAGTATGTTCAAATTCAGAATTATAGCTCTAGTCTGAACTATGTAGGAAGCTCAGATGTAATCTTTATGTATAAAAAAGTCCACTTGAGCACTAGTGCATAAAACAACATGATTCCATTCCAAAATGTACAAGTTAATATGCAACAAGATTAAGGATGAAAAGACAGAATACGAAAATATGAAGGCTGAGACAACTTACTATCCTCTTTGAAGATCTGACAGAAGAATTCTCCAGGATTTTTCACTGTACACAGTATAACAATTAATGTCTGTTTAGGAGTCAGCTTAACCCATGTCCACTCTTTTTTATTAATCATTTCTTCTACAGCTAAAGAGCAAAGGGGAAAGAAGAAAATAGGATGAGACACACGTAAAAAGACAACATTAGAGAGGAAGAAAATGCCCATTCTTGGGCACATAACTGGCCATACTCATTACAAATCGCTTAATTATTGTACAGCTATTGTACTACAATATAGATAAAATCAGGTTCCATAGCAACTTTTCATGTACTCACCAGTTACTTCCTTCACAGTGTTAACAGTTTCATTTATTGTCAAGACATCCTTGAAATCTTTCACTGCACAGCCTGATTCTAAAAGATGTTTAGATACATTTATTATTGGAGAAACAGATTCATCTACAATCTCTACCACAGAGCTATTCTCATTTTTGTCAACCACTGTGATAGTAATCTTTTTATTTTGCACCAGTTGTTTCATCAGAGAAACAGCTTCTGAAGACCAGGTTCCTGATAGGGGCTTCACACCTAAAAGTGAAATGTAAAGAAATATTTCATTTCAGCTGGACTGTAAATTGTTCTCCCACAATCCCGTTCTTGAATTAGTTCATTCTTCACTTTTTGAAGCTGTTTTATGAATAACATTGTAAACAGTTGACATTGCTTGTTTAAGTATGCATCAAATCAATAGCAGCACATGCCAGTGATTTTAATATAAGGGGTTACAAAATACTGAAGGGTTTTATTAAGGTAGTGTCTAGAGGCCTAGGATCAGAGCTCCATTGTTAGATATGGTAAGTGCTCCACTGACATGTCAATACAGGCAGTCCCCGGGTTACGTACAAGATAGGAACTGTAGGTTTGTTCTTAAGTTGAATTTGTATGTAAGTCGAAACTGGTACATATTGTAGGGGAAACTCTAGCCAAACATTTCTCCAGAGCTCAGTTTTATTCTCCCACACCTCACTTCCCTCAGTCCTTTATTCTCAAGCTGAGGTGTCTGCTGAGAGAAGCCGCTCTGCGTCTCCCTGGTCTGCTGGGGGGAAGCAGCTAGTGCAGGGTTGCCTCACCCCGTTTGTAAGTAGGGATCCGATGTAAGTCGGATCCATGTAACCTGGGGACTGCCTGTACTGCAAAGAAACACTCAATTTTTTATTGCTTGGCACAGTTTTAGTGATGGAAACCATTAAAAGAAATGTTACTTAATAATGGTAGTTATAGATGTTTGCCAGCATAGATCTACACTTGTCAGTGCCAAGTAAAAAGCCCCTAGCCAAGCAATAGTCATTAGGCTTCGTGGTTGCAATGGCAAGAATCAGGCATACACTGAGATGAAAACCCCAACACTACATGAATCTTCAGCACCTCTTTCTACTTTGCTGTTTTCCTATGCTTTGTTTTCGATTTTTGGCGGTAGTTCTAAAAAGTTAACAGACTTCCAACTGTATGGTGTCAGATGGATTAGTCAGAAGTTTTGGTTCAAGTCAAGGCAAACATCTTCATATTTCATGTGGTACCGGTCTACTCTGTTCCTGATCCTTATCTATGAACGGCTGCATTTATAGCAACTGCACTGTAATACCGGCCTCCAGAAACAGATTCCAAAACATGCATTTCTTGCACCACCAAAATATTTATGGATGATTCCATTCTCTGCGATTTGCACAGAATGATCTATCTGCATGAGTTACAGCCTTTAAAGTTTTCTTTTTAAATAGCTTTCAAGTCTGAGTAGCATCTCAGCCTTGTCCTTATAACAGGATTAAATTGAATATCCCTCAATGTTAAGAAAATGCTCAGGGTCTTCAAAAAAGCCACTGTGATCCAAGGGAACATCTGATCCAAAGATTGACAAAAAGTGCCATTCAAGTATTCTGCGCAAATTTAATCAAGTGGGTTAATCAGATTTGCCCAAGAAAAAGATGAGGTGTTTCCCTCAGCAAATTGCACTTTGAACTGCTGTCTCTGCCTCTTCAATTCAAAGCAAGCACTGGCTCCAAGAAAGAACTGGTGACTTTAAAAAGTCCTTGCAGCCAGGGCCCCAACACATTAGAACCAAACCCATATGCACAATGCACAAGTGCATATTTGAGGACAATAAAGTTCTTAAAATAGATTTTTTTACTACACACATTTATTACACACATTTAGAAAAACTTTAACTTTATTAATTTTAATGTTCCTAGTATTACTATGAAGTGCTAATTTGATTTTCTACAGGTACTTCTCCACCATTAACCTCATTTCCTTACCTCCTTTTTCACATAGTACAGGTTGGACCTCCCTGATCCAGCACCCTCAGGACCTCATTGTCCCAGAAGAGGGATCTTTTCCAAACCAGGGAAGTCATTTCCAGCCCCCTGTTCCCCAACTGCTGGCCACACCTCCTATTCCACCCCTTCCAGACCATTCTCCCTCGACTACTGGCCACACCCCCTACCTCCGTCCAGAACGCTTTCTTCCCCCCTGCAACCCAGCGAAGCCATGCACTGGGCTCCCCATCTCCTCCACACACACCCCTACAGTGTGCCAGGACTTTCTTATCCTGGAAAATCCAAGGTCCTTCTGGACCATGGATGTTGCCAGACCAGAGATTTCTGGTTTACAGAGGTGCAATCTGGGTCGTAAATTAAACAAGTTCTTAGAAATTTTTACCCCAAATCTGTTTTGAACTCTAATTTTCATCCCAACTGCAGTACTCTGTAGTTCATTTCCTACCTGCTAGTGTACACTTTATAGCTTGCACTGGCAACTCCAATAATTTTGGAATTATAGGGCGAAGTCTAGTCACTTGAAGAACTTCGAAGTTACCATAATCTACATAGCCCACTAACGCATTATCTTCAGAAGTATATGCTAGAACTGAGGCACGATACCACTGATTGTCTTCTGGAAGGAAAAATGCAGACAAACATTCTGTGAATAATTAATTCCTGGAGTACAAAAAGGATTTCTTGGCAATGCATTAATATAAAATACAGTGGCTCTGGACTATATTATAGTCATGGGATGGGTTGAATTAAGCCTTGTTGAAGCTAGTGATTGCAACAGCCACTCTTCATTCAAAATACATGTAAGAAAATTATAAGTTCCTTAATGGAACCAGAGAGTTGAAAAAGGAGATTCCACCCAAAACAATCAGCACATTGTTGCCTGTGTCCCCCCCACCCTCCTCAAAAGACACATGCAAGCCTCATCAGAAATAGAGTAATGTGGCCAGAGTGGTTTACCGGGTACTGCTTGATGGAGTGGTGTGTCTCAAACAGCAGGAAGACCAAACAAGCAACAGGAAACAAGAAAGCGAAGGAAACAGCCAAAAAAAGCAGTAGGAGCATGGCCATGAAAAGCAGCTAGATTAGAGCATTTTAAGGCTAAGTAAGCTGGAAAGGTGCTGCAGACAGTGGACAAATAATGGTCTCCTGTTTAATTCCTACTGCACTCCGGGAAACAGGACTTGGTAAATAAACAAGACTACAGGTACATCAAAGAAATACCTGATCAATTTTTCCTCCTTCTGGAAACAATCTGCAGGACTAATAATCAGGTCAAAAACAGGATAACAATAAGTTAAATTATGTAAAGTCATTTGGAAATTTAAAACAAAGTAAGATTAGTTAACTCCGGTATCAGAGCTATATTCACCAAAACACATGAGCAATGACAGAATTCCCCTGCCAATATCAAAGTAAACAGTGCTGGACAGTGCACTGCTTCCTCTGATGCCCATTTTCTTGTTTTGCATCTCCCCCCCATACGGTTTCTGAACACAAGAAAAAATGTTTGCTTGCCATTTGTAACTGTGTTATAGATGTGTTGCTCGTGTTCATTTCATATAGGCATGCGTGTGTGCTCCATGCATATACTGTCAGAAGTTTTTCCCTTAGCAGTACCCATTGGGCTGGTAGGGGAGTCTCCTGGAGTGGTGCTGTTATATCTGCTAATACAGTGGCTCCCAACCTTTTCGAGGATATGGACCCCTTTTCAATCTATTCAAATTTTACAGACCGCCTCCCCCCAAACAATATAGCTGTGCCTGCTGCCTACATATCCCGCAACCTATGTTGCTTCCCAAGCAGTGCCCCTCAACCCACTGGGGAAACAGCACAGGCCGAGAGGCTCTCTGCTGACAACCAGCAAGTCCCTCAGCCCACGTTGCTTCCTGTGGCTCAGGAAGCAATGTGGGCTGAAGGATGTGCTGGCTGCAAGAGACTGTGCACAGAACCGTCATTGACTCCCCCCAAGATCCACAACTTACTGGCACACCACCCTCTCAGTTTCTTCTTACTGGACTACTCCGAAAAAGGGGAGGTGGGAGGGATCTGGAATGAACATAAGCAACATCTCGAAGAACAGTTGCAAATGGTAAGTAACCGTTTTTTCTTCAAGTGATTGCTCATGTCCATTTCATGTAGTTGACTCCAAAGCAGAAACCCAGGAGGTGGGGTTGGAGTTCTAACCTACTGAGTAGAGGACAGCCCTACCCAGGGCTGCGTCCTTCTTAGCCTGATAAGCCTGTGTATAGAGGTTGGCAAAGGTATGGACTGAAGACCACGTGGTGGCCCTACAAATATCCAGCATAGGGAGCCAGGAATACCATGGAGGAGACCTGTGCCCTAGTGGAGTGGGCTGTAAGAGAAGGGGCTGGCACCCCGGCCAGACCATACCATTTCTTGATATAGGAGGTAATCCAAGAAAAGATCCTTCAGATGCTCCGTGATTGCCACAAACAACTGTGGGAAGTTACAAAAGGGCTTCGTCCTAAGTAAAAAGCTAAAGCTCTCCTAACATCTAGAGTGTGTAAAGCCTGTTCTTTGCCAGAAACATGAGACTTGGGGTAAAAAACTGGGAGAAAAATATTCTGAGAGACATGAAAATGAGACACCACCT